TATTTACCTGAATCTAAAATAAACAAACAGATATTAAATATTCCAATAAACATTGAATTAGCTGATTCTAATTTTGATAAACCATCAAAAATTGATCTTTTAATCGGCGCGGATAAGTTTTGGGATTTAATAATATGCGAACAAATAAACCTGGGTAAAAATTTGCCAATACTGCAAAACACCAAATTAGGTTGGATAATTGGTGGATCTTTAAGTATTTCAGATAACAACCTTTGCTTTTTGAACAGAAACACAGATATTAACGATTTGTTGTTAAAATTCTGGGAAGTTAAAGAAGCACCACATCCAAAACCTAATCCCAAACCAAATTCAATGGAAGAGGAATTATGCGAAGAACATTTTCAAAAAACAGTAAAGCGTAATGAGAAAGGTCAATTTATTGTGACCGTTCCCCTAAAAGAAAATATCAGTGTTTTGGGCGATTCTAAAACATTGGCTATAAAACGATTTTTACAATTAGAAAAAAGACTACAATTAAATATGAAGTTACGTGAACTTTATTGTAATTTTTTAAAGGAATACGAAGATCTGCAGCATATGTCATTAGACAAAGATGAAGCTGAAGCTGTTCAATACTTCATGCCTCATCACGGTGTTTTAAGAGAGGAAAGCATCACTACAAAACTTCGTGTTGTGTTTAATGCGTCAGCCCCAACTACTACAGGGTTTTCATTCAATTCATTACAAATGACAGGGCCAACGATCCAGGATGATATTGTAAGCATTTTACTTAGATTTCGAATGCATAGCATAGTAATTTCAAGTGATATAAAAATGATGTACAGATGTGTGCTTGTAAATCCCGATCAAAGATGCTTACAAAAGATCGTATGGAGACAAAGTCCTCAAGAAGAGTTAAAGTCCTTCAAATTAAATACAGTGACATATGGCACTACTGCGGCTTCATTCCTAGCCATACGTAGCCTTTATGAATTAGGCAATGAATGCGAGCAAACCCATCCTGAAATATCGAGAATAATAAAACATGACATGTATGTTGATGATCTTCTAACGGGTACAGATTCTTCGGAAAATGCATCACATATATGTCAAAATATATACAAAATTTTAAACGGTGCTGGATTTGAACTCCGAAAATGGAGATCCAATTTTCCTCAAATTCTAGACGTGCCTAATAAGCAAGATATCCTAGAATTTCATCTCGATAAAAATGTGGTGTCCCAAAAAACTCTTGGTTTAATTTGGGTAAGTCATGAAGATATCTTAAAATTTAAAATTCAAGATTTTAGTCTTGATAAATCTATAACAAAAAGAAGCATATTATCTCGAATAGCTTCCATATATGATCCGTTGGGACTATTAAGCCCAATTATAATTACAGCAAAATGCTTTATTCAGAAGCTTTGGTCTATAAAAGTTAGTTGGGATGATCCTATCCCTTCTCACGTAGCAAAGCAGTGGTTTGAGAAGAAATCTTTGAATCGTGATAGTAAAATTTTGAGTTTAAATCCATTTTTAGATGAAAACAACTTACTGCGTGTAGGTGGACGTTTACAAAACTCATTTTATTCATTTGACAGTCATCATTTAACAAAATTAATTTTCATCTATGAACATACCAGACTATTACATCCAGGCACACAATTACTATCTGCACATATAAAGGAAAAATTTTGGGTTGTACGTGGTAATAACTTGGCCAGACTCATTTATCGCCAGTGCGTAAAATGCGCTAAAATAAACGCGAGGTCTATTCAACCGCTTATGGGTTCTTTACCAACACCCAGAATAACGCCAAATCTACCTTTTACAATATCCGGTGTTGATTACGCTGGGCCGTTTTTGTTAAAGGATCGAAAGGGTAGAGGTGCAAAAACTTATAAATGTTGGATTTGTTTATTCGTATGCTTTAGTTCAAAAGCCGTACATTTAGAAATAGTATCTTCCATGAGTACTAATGCCTTTATTCAATGCCTACATAGATTTATAGCTAGACGTGGATTCCCCTCTGACTTGTACTCATACAACGGCACAAATTTTGTTGGTGCTAATAGGGAACTCACTGAATTTTACACCTTTTTATTAGAAAATTCTGAAACTATTTGTGGTTCAGTATCAAACTTAAACATTAAATTTCATTTTATTCCTGTAAATAGTCCAAATTTTGGGGGATTATGGGAAGCAGGTGTGCGCAATGTCAAACATCTTTTACGTAGAGTAGTTGGTGAATGTTTATTAACCTATGAAGATTTTTACACATTCTTGGTACAAATCGAATCTGTATTAAATTTCCGTCCCATATCTCCACTCTGTTCCGAACCTTCAGACCTCTCAGCTTTGACGCCAGCTCATTTTTTAATTGGGAGATCACTCCACGCTATCCCAGAGACCGACCTGAAGGGAATTCCTGATAATCGGCTGAGTTTGTATCAGCACATAAAGAAAATGCAACAACATTTTTGGGATAGATGGAGCAAGGAGTATATCAGTCAATTACAAACTCGCTCTAAATGGAAAACCAAGAATGGTCAAGTCCTGCAAGTAGGACAACTTGTGGTAATAAAAGAAGACAACATGCCTGTATTACAATGGTGTCTTGGTCGTGTTACGGAGCTTAAATTTGGAACCGATGGCATCTCTCGAATTGCATTGTCAAGACTACAAAGGGTGTCACTAAAAGAGCCATTTCCAGAATATGTCCACTGCCTGTATTTTCAATTGAAAGTTAAAGACTTTCAAGGCCGGGAGTATGTTAAGTTTGCTTGTTGATGGACGAGCCGACGAGCCGCCACTGTTTCTATGTTACTATAGATATAAGTTTAATGAAATGTTAATTATAGAATTAATGTCAATTCAAGATACATATTTGTCACCCATTATATAAAATAAACGGTTTCCTCTGAAATTCACTTCTTTAAAAGTAACCAGCGCCCTTCACGCGCAACCAGATCTACTTATACTGGACTATTCAGGTAAAATCGTAAGAAGTGGAGAAAGTATATTGTCCACATCTAATCAACGGCTCTTTTAGACATTCTAATATTTCACTCTTATACATCACTGATCTTCTATGTCTGGGAAATCAAAGGTATTCTTAAAATATTTTTGCCCAATAGCTGCTTTCAAAAAAGAACAGTTATAAATTTTAAAGCGTTTGATTATTTCGGTCACTAACCCAATAAATATATTCTAACTTTTTTCGAATTTCAGTACGTCAGATTCAGGATATTTATATTCTCGTAAAGTTTCTCCAGAGTAATTTTTGTTATTCCTTTGACTTGATCTTGATAGGCTATCTCTAGAGTCATTTGATTTCAAATCCATGTCATCATCGGTATCAATATAAGTTGGTTCTTCATAATCTGAAGATTCAGAAGATGAATTTAGGTTTCTTTTTCCTGGCGTTTAAATTTTCTTTTTAATGCAGTACCACTAGTTCTTGGAATAGTATCGTTTTGCTCCGTACCATTTATTTTTGTTTGCTTCTTTTCTTTAGTGCTCTTGCTATTAAGAATTGCGTGTGCCACCGTAGATGTTAAAACATCAGCACCTGATGAAATTTTTTTCCGTGGTTTCATCACTTGATTTACCAGTTTATTTGATCGTATTGTTTCTAATAGAATATTTTTAAATCCATCACTTTGCTCCGGTGTATCTTTGGTTTGGTCTGTTATAGGTTCCAAATTCGTAATTGTGTCTTCTATCAACCCATTATTGCTTTGTTGCTGAAATTTTTCATAAGTTAACCATAGATCGGGATCATACACTTCAGGGCTAATTACTTCCCTATTAAATAAAAATATTCTTCCTTTTCTAAAACTACTTTTTATAACATTTATATCCAAGTTCGCCAAAATGTGAGGTTTAACAAGTTGAAAAAGGGCAAACAATACATCTACCTAAACTAGTTGGAGGTTGGTGACCCATCCAGTTATTTCATAATCTATATTTGCATAAATAAAAAAATGAAATAAGGTACCGTCAACCTTAGCCTAATAAATTCCTAAAGTAGCGAAAATTAGGCACCGATGTGTGTCTTTTTAAAAGTAAAGATCAATTTTCAATGAAAACCTGATGGCGTTCATCAAAAATATTAATTCTAGAGTATGTAAAGGAAAAAAATACAGATACATTGAATCAAAAAAACTCAATACTTCAAGTGATTCAGCCGTTAAAAGAAATAAATCAAGAGAAGCTAATCCTAGCCTGTACTGAATACCAAAAGGCGATAGAAAATTATAATATTAGTCAAATATCATCTGTAAAACAAAATTTCTCTATCAGATTACAAGCAAGTACACTTAACCTAGGCACAGAATATAAAATACTGTAAATAAAACACAAAAAAATAATTTTAATTATATTCAAAGATTAAAACCGATAATACTTGAAATCCCTTCAAAGATGGCGTCGAAAGAAAGTAGTTCTTCCGTAGCATACCACAGGTACTTAAGTCACAATCCCATAAATAGTCAAAACTTCCTCTGCCTTACCCAAATAAATATGAAACGAAGTTCTTTAGATTCTCCTATTCAAGAGGGACGGATTTAAATCCTCCAAATGTAAATCTGGGCCCTCAGTATTGCTGTCTAAAAGACGGACTTTCAGCCCTATCAAAGAGGTGTGGCTATGAGAAAATAAGGTGACAGGAGTAGTATATTCTAGTAGGCTCTGCGGTGCAAATGTGCAAGATGGCGGTCGCTGACGGCACATCTGGCGGAAACCTGTTTCCGGCCACCTGCATCCGGCCATCTGGTGAACACATGGGGGTCAACTGTCAAACACATGTTGTAATTTGATGGGAAAGATAAAGACATCTGGTTCTCACGCGAACACCTGCACCCGGCCATGTGGCGAACACATGGCAACATTTGGTGTCCACACGTGCATTCAAAGCCAATAACCTATGCTGTCAACATGTGGTTTCTAAAAATAGATTTATGTGAATCAATTTCCCCACTTTTATTTTGTTCTCTATTTAAAACATCGCTTTATTTCAGCTGCTCAGTTATTCCAAAATGAGCATATGTAATAAGTACGGTAAGAGCTTTACGCGGGCTACTAGCCTTCGCCGTCATCAATTAAGTAGATGTGATGAGAACTGTCCGATTCCATGCAAGAGGCTAAGACCTCTCGGTATTGAAGTGATTGATGGTAGTGTTTCAAAATTTACCCATGCTTTTAAAAATAGAATTGCATCATTCCGGATTACCAGTACACATTTAATATCACATAGTGGTTTCCTATATGATATTAAACCAAAAGTTTTGGGAATTATTAATGACTATCTCCAGAGGCATACGTCATTGAAGATCAACTTTGAGCTGTTTGGCATTTATGTAAAACCAGATGCGGAATTATCTGATATTAAGTCCATGAACACCGAAAATAAGATAGTAACTGTTAGTAGTAATTTAAATAAGATTTTTGAAAAATTCAAAGAGGCTATAATGGCCCAAGCTTCAGAATTTCAAGAGAAAGACTCCAACTGGTCATTGCAGGAAATACTGTTTCTTAATGTTAATATTAACCGATATAGTGCCATAGCAGCTTCATCATACATACAACTCCCATGGTTTATTAAGACAAAATGTGCTGTATTGAATATTAAAAACATATACAATAAATGCTTCGCTTGGTGAGTGAATGCGGCCATTTTCCCCGCTACCGGCGATCCCACCAATCCAGAATCGTATCCTCCATATGATACACTACTGAATTTCGATAACATCGAGTTCCCCATCAAATTAAGTGATAATAAAGATTTGAAAAACTCAACAATATTTCTGTAAATGTGTATGGATTAGACACATACTTTAAAGGTCCGAAAAGGCAATATGAAGTTGTTGGACCTCTGCATTTCACTTCACAAAGAAAACCAACCCATGTTCATGCACATTTGCACCGCAGAGCCTACTAGAATATACTACTGACAGGATTTTTCTGGCTTAATTTACCAAACAAAAAAAGAATTTATTTGCGAACCGTTACACAAAGTAAAATTTACGTTAGAAATAGGTTCATATTACTACGCAGAGAGAAAAATCATGCTCATATTAAGCAAAAAATAAGCTTTCGGGCTTGGTTTTTAGCCAATCATGCCACAATCTTTATTTAAGGAATGTTTAAGCACGCATGCTAAAATATCGTCTCTAAAGTATTGATTAAATCGAGCACCAAAAATTGTTCAATTAGGTATGTATATTCATATTCCTAATTCTTAAAAGAAAAATGGTTTGAGTTTGATTTTAGTCCTCAAATTCCTAATTCAAGTTTTTGCACGGTTTAAACATTAGAATGTAATGCTTTTAGTTTATTAACTCTTACGAACAAGAATACTAGGTAATTGATTTAAGTTTGGATATTCCTGTTTTTAGAATGATAGCTGCCCATATATAAGCACTATCATACTTGAATCAAGCATATTCTGTATTTGAATATACGATATACGATAGTATTCTATTTCTTAATCTAAGAATTAATTTATTTTTATTAGATAAATCTTAAATTAAAATAATTTTGCTTAATTTGATTACTTTGGAGAAGCTTTATTAAAGCACGTCTATTTTTGTATTAAGTAAGCGTCATACATAAAAGGTATACCTACCTTTACGAAAATAAACATTTTGTTTTAATTCCTGGAGACACAATTATTTATATAACTTAAAAAGTCGAGTTAGAGCAGGAGTTAATTTTGGCCACGTAACATCGGAGTTGAAAGAGTTAATTATATTAATTTAAACGCTACTTGTGTTAAAGAGGTTAAAAATCATTATTAATTCTATTTCTTAATCTAAGAAATAATTTATTTTTATTAGATAAATCTTAAATTAAAATAATTTTGCTTAATTTGATTACTTTGGAGAAGCTTTATTAAAGCACGTCTATTTTTGTATTAACCCTATTTTTGCGATTGCTGATGATAGAAATTATTTCTGTGGCTTGGTTCTAAAAGGGACAATGTCATGTCTTTTTTTTTTGTTTCAGCTTTTATACACCAGTACACTACATTCATTTTAAACTTTATTTGAATAAAACGGCCAAATCTTCATCTTCTTCCGTTTAAAAGATACCAAAATAAATAGGGCTAAAGTTAATGTTAAAAATTAAAAGTACTTTAATATAAAAGGGTCAATCTAAACATTGGCTATTTTATCATTATTTTTTCTTACTGTTACGCTCTAACTCTAACCGGTCAAAATTCACATTGGCTGAAAAAAATCTTTAAAAGAGGTAGGTAAATGCAGAACAAAATATTCTGAATAATTATCAGACGACGTATGGTTAGAGAATTTTAAAAACTTGTAGCAAATAATGTAGAAAAAAGTGAAAAGACTGTACAAAGAGTTCGAGAAATTCGACCAAATAAAAGGAGTAGACAAAAGTAATCAAGGTCTTACTTTTTATTCCAGAGTCAAAATAAAATTAAAAGATGTTCCAAAATGGTAATGACAAGCTTAATTTTGTGTAATCCTGTATATTAGGATCGACCAAAATTATTATCTGTAATGTGAAAATACACTCCCATGGAAATATTATTGCAATAACTCAAACGTTTAAAATCTAAATATATTTTCAATGAAGCAATCACGACATGAAATTCTTAAGTTTCACTATTGAGGATATTAAACCACAAATAATACAGTTAAGTAACGATTAGCTTACTTCTATCCACGACAGGTCTTTTATAAACGAGCCAATCTTCGATGATACAAGAAAGGGAAATGTTAAGATTACGTCATTTTATCTTCAACTCAATATAGGATTGGCGCTGGTCCGGTCAATTTACGTTAAGCCTTATTCCACTAATCCTGGAATTAATGCCTGTAGGTCTGACATCGCCTACTGAATTTTAGTACAAGGGATAGAGGGATAGTATTACGTTAATAAAGTAATATATTACTACGTAACGAAAAAATTTATATTTAATTGTTACGTACAATTAAAACTGGGTAAAATTGTTCCAAATATGGTAAGCTGTTGTTTTATATTGACGAAACTTCGTGAAAATTAAAACTGTATATTGTAAAGAAAGAAGCCTTGTTTTTTCTGTACACGAATTCTTGTTTGTTTTTTGTTTTGTTTACTCGGCGAAGGGAATTATGTGTAAAAGGGTAGAAAATTGCGAAAGAACTTACACGTTCAAATAAATTTACAGATTTAAAGAAATTTACACCGTTCAAACGAATTTACAGCTTAAGAGGAATATACAATTTTATTTAAAGAAATGTACAGGTTTGAAGGTGTTAAAGGTTTAGCGGTATTTGAGGCTTAAAAGTAATAATGTTTGAAGGTATTAAGGTTTATAGGTTTGAAGGTATTAAGGTTTATAGGTTTGAGGTATTAAGGGTAAAGATATTAATGGTAAAGATATTAAGGTTAAATATATAAAGGTTTAAAGGTATTAAGGTTTAAAGGTTTTAAGGTTATTCAAGATATAAAGAAGTGTAGAGATTTAAAGGAATTTAGAAATTAAGAAGGAATTTATTGTTTAAAAAAAATTTGAAATTAAGAAGGAATTTACTGTTTAAAAAAATTTATAAGTTTAGCTGAATTTACAGGGTTAAAAGAAATTAGCAAGTTTAAAGGATCTTACAAGTATAAAAGAAAATTACAGTTTCAAATAAATTTGCAGGTTTGAAAAATGTATAGATTTAAAGGAATTAACGTATAATGATAAATTTATTGGTTAAAACGAATTTACAGTTTAAAATATATTTATATGGAATTAAAATAGTGAGAATTGTCGAATACTGGTAGGAATTTTCAGCAAATTTTCGTAAAAATTCCCGAAAATTACGAGACTTGCAAAGGTAATGCTGATAAATTAGGAGACAATTTTAAGGAAATTGTATATTAAAAAGGAATGAGATATACACGATTTAAATTTAGAATTAAAGGACTTTTGTACATAATTTTTTTTCCCTTTAAACTTTTGAACTCTTGAACACTAATTTTTTATTAGAAGAAATACGATGTTATTACTTGCAATTTACTGTTTGAGGTTCTTTCTTAAAACTTCAAATACTTTTAACAGCATCGGTGTGTATGACAAATGCATTTATGCATACTAGGCCCATATTTTCGTCTGTGAGTACATTAAAACCTTAACTTATATGGCATATGGGCTCAGTATGCATCTTAATGTCTTTCTTTTATACTTCGATGATCTAAAGAGGTATTTGAAGATTTTAGAATGAACCTGAAAACGGCGCTTGGCCCGAGTTAGCACATAAAGCTATCGGCTGGGAATCTTGACAGTGAATATCGCTATAGTCCAGTAGTAAGGGCATTTGTGTACAGAACAAAGATGTCTGGGTTGAAATATTGGCGCTAACATGGCTTTATTTTTAAATCTCCAAGTATGTGTGTTCACTTTTGGGATCCGGGGATGGTCTTATTAATTATTAGTAAGGAATTTTTTAGATTTTCTTCCAAATTATCAAATTATTCAAAATATTATAAGCTATAACGTTGAAGCTATAATGAATATACGTGTACTCCAGCGGTGATTAGAAGGGACAATAAGAACAACACTACAAAGTTAAATAATACGTTCTTTCCTTGGTTGAATATTTCTAAACAACGGCATGGATTTTTGAATCTAAAACATGTATGCAATTTATACTACTAATATTTTTTACATCCCTAATGGATATAAAACGAATAAAAACATCAAATGAAAAAAAATGGTTTAAATAATTTGTTTTCACCACCTCGACTATCTGGGGCAACGATTCTTGTCCTGCCCCATTACTTTATCCCTTCCAATAACTTTTCGGCTGACTTTCATTTTCTTACTTTGGATTCGGTCTTATAAATAATAAATCAGAGTTATTTATGAGCTTCCAATTATCCGTGATGTATGATGATAGTTTTTAGTTTTCTAAGAAGATTGCCGCAGACGAGTCTGAAGATTACGAGAAAAGCAGCAATTATTGGTGAGAATGAATAATTTAAAAACAGGAAAAATAAATAAAATTGTAAAGAGATCGGGTAAAATTATGCAGATTTTAAAGTTTTCAGTTTTCAATTATTCTTGAAGAGAATACTTAAGATTAGAAAATACAAATTAAAAAAATGACAATGGGGCCTGATCTAATACCTTCTTTCTTTAAAGATTAGAATAATAGGCTCAATTTTGCTTTTCTAAAATATTAGATTTAGTTCCAATAGCTATGAGGCGTTCCGCAAAGATCAATTTTGGGGCCTTTCTATTTACTATTTTGTTGAGCGATATTGCTGTAAACAAGAATATAAAAGTTTTGTTGTATGCAGATGATTTAAAATTATTAGTGAAAATTTGACTAGATAGAGCAAATCGGTTCCAAAATAGTTTACTTCCATTGAATCCAAAAAAATTTTTGGTTTTGTCTTTCACCAGGCAATTAACTGATTTTACTTTTAATTATAGATTGCATAATACTATTCTTAACAGGCCTGAGTTTATAAGAGTTCTTCGGGTATATTTTGATTCACCAAACATATTCAATCAAGGGTGTTTGCCAATAAAATCCTAGGGTTTGTTAAAAGAAGTTTTAAATAATTCTTCGTTATTATTAAAAATCTTATACAACAGCTTGGTTCATTTATAATTTAAATATGCATCTGAGGTATGGAGTCCCAGACATAATGTCAATAT